TATAATTCAATGAATTTCTGTTTCGAAGGGGAGGTAAATAATAAGTGTTGTAACTTTAGAATAGACACTGGCTCTGATATTTCTATTTTAAATGATGACTTGGTGGGATCGGATGATTTCAAAGTTAAGATAAATAATTGTAATTTGAAATATCCCACGGGCGAAAAAGTTGCAATTGATTACAAAATGCATACAACAGTTCGACTTAGGAATTATTTAGTAGAGATTCCAATGTTGGTAGCAAAAATTAACGATGATTGTATACTCGGTGTAGATTTTCTTGAAATAATTAATTTGGGAAATATCTTTGAGTCCATTTTTCGTGGTCAAAAAGAAATGGTGAAGAATAATATTCAATGTTATCGAGTGGAAGAGTCTTTTAATATTCCATCGAATTTGAGATCTTTGAAAAAGATTCTAAACATTTAAATCAATCTCAGAAAGAACTCTTTGCAAAGTTTCTTATTGAATTTCGTGAAATATTTGCTGAGGAAATTGTTGTGCTGGGAATTGTGAGGTTGGGGAACATGTAATTAATATAAAAGATTCTTTCCCCATTAAGCAGGTCCCTCGTCGAATTCCTATTAATATGAGGAAGGAAGTTAATAAAATTATGGAGAACATGAGAAATCAAGGTGTAATTGAGGAATCAATAAGTCCTTCAGTCAGGAGACAGGATGTCTCCAGCTGTGTTAATGAGGAAAAAGGATGGGACGATAAGATTTTATATTGATTATCGTAAGCTAAATGATGTTACTACTAAAGATTCTTATCCCTTGCCCAGAATAGACGACATTTTAAATCAACTGGCAGGTGATTCTTGGTATTCTACATTAGATTTAAAAAGCGGATACTGGCAAATTAAAATTCGGCCAGAGGATAGAGAAAAGACGGCATTGTCTATCGGAAACGGATTGTGGCAATTTAAAGTGATGCCCTTCGGTTTGTGTAACGCTCCAGCCACATTTGAGCGAGTGATGGAGCAGGTTTTACAAGGGTTTCTGTCAAAAAGTTGTTTAGTACACTGTTAGAAATGTTCTTAAATTTCATTAACTTTTAGTTACATAATTGAATTTAATTTGAATTTAATTTCATGATATTACATTAAATTTAATGTATTTGTAACTAAAAAGTATATTTATATACATGTACATAAAATTTAATGTATTTTTCATGAAAATTTATGAAATTTAATGTACTTTTCATAAAATTTTATTAAAAGTAAATTTCATAAATTTAATGTACACGTTAATTACATTTAAGTAACTACTGTAACTTAATTTTCAGTTAAATCATTCATTACTTTTAATTTCGTTCATAACCACCAGCTTCATTTACATGTAAAGGAAGCTCGTGGTTACATTTCCAACAGTGTATATTTAGATGACGTTATTATTTTTGGTAAAAGCTTTGAAAAAATGACTGAAAATTTAAGGAAAGTTTTGAGTCGTTTGCGGGAAGTAAATTTAAAAATTAATCCTAAAAAGTGTACTTTTTTTGGTCAAAGAGTAAAGTAAAGTTGGGACACTCAATTTCTGCTGCAGGGATTTCCACAGACAATAATAAAATGATTGCTATAAAGGGGTGGCCAATACCGTGAAATAAAAAACATATTCGGAGCTTTTTGGGATTATGCTCTTATTATCGTAAATTTGTGAAGGGATTTTCGTTATTGGCAAAACTTCTGTATATTCTTACAGAGAATCAAACGAAATTCGTTTGGGATGAGCAATGTGAGAGCAGTTTCAACAGTTTGAAACAAGCTCTTACCTCCACACCAATTCTTTCTTTTCCACCGAGAAGGGGGAGCTCATTTTCGATGCATCAAATTTTGGAATCGGTGCAATCTTGTCGCAAAGACAAGATGGAAGAGAAAAAGTTATTTCCTATTTCAGCCGTGTTTTAAATAAAGGCGAGAGGAATTATTGCGTCAAGCGACGCGAACTTTTGTCAATAGTTGATTCGGTTAAATCGTTTCATCACTATTTGTATGGTCGGAAATTTTTAATACGAACGGATCATATGTCGCTTAAATGGTTTATGTCTTTCAAGGAGTTGGAGGGCCAGTTGGCACGCTGGATGAAGAGGCTTCAACAGCATGACTTTCAAATAATTTACCGAAAAGGCGTCTTGCATAAGAACGCTGATGGGTTATCCAGACGCCCTTGTACAAATACGAAGTGTCAGTATTGTGCAAGGATATAAATTAAAGAGGCTTCAAAAATAGAAAATGCAGTTGCAAGGATAGTTTTGTCGGAAGAAAACCTGGAAACTTGGCGTCAGGAACAATTAGAGGATCCTAGCATTTCCATTATTCTTCAAGGGAAGGAGACTGGGATCCGACAATCTTGGCAGGAGGTTGCGTCTAAAGAAACGTCCGCCAAAGTGTACTGGTCCTATTGGGATTCCTTAGAAATCAAGGATGGTGCATTTTATAAAATGTGGAAGGCTCCAAATGTGAAAAGCACTGTTGGAAGGCTCCAAATGTGAAAAGCACAAGACCACGAGGCGACCGACGCCATAGCAACATTCTTGAGATCAGCGGTACTTTCTGATCGTTCGAAGCAAACCGTAAGCAACAAGCTGAAAGCAAGAACAACTCTTGCAAAAACCCCATCAAAACACCAAGCCCAAGCAACGAGTCACGTCAAGGATAAGGAGCAGGAGAGCTCGCGAAAGTTACATCAACCTTCGTCGCACGAAACGAGAGGCACGAGTCGTTCGGATTATAGCAGTAACACCAAAGATAAGTGAGCTATCCTCTATCCATTTCCAATCAAAACAAAGAATTGCTTCAATTTGAGTGAAACACGCAATACATTGCTCATTCCAGCTATCTACCATAGTTATTTTAGGTTAAATCACTAACCTCATAATTCACTAACGTTTAGTTAACGATGTCAACCTTACAGTGAAAAAGAGGTCATCTAAGGATGCGCCTCACGATGCTAAAAAACTTTTTAATAAATACGCTGCCCTCACGGCTTCCTGAAAATTGCGAAATATCTCAATCTATTCCTCCGTTACTTCGATTAGAAATAGAAGGCCGCGTTCTCAAAGCAAATAGCATAATTAATGAATTTTATGAAGCTCAGGATGCTATCGAAGAGGCGGGCGAGGACGCGGACGATGTAGAAGAATCAAAAAACTGTGAAGAATTCGAAAACGAATTTTTCGCAGTTATGGCTCATGCACAAGAAATGTTAACCCGCGGACAAGAGAGGGAATCTGCAAATCAAAATATTCAATCACAACATAACAATACAGGTATGATTCCTCCGTTTCAGGCTTCCGTTGTCTCGCCTAAGCTTCTCGGCGTAAAACTGCCTATCATTGCGTTGCCCAAATTCAACGGTGAATTTGAATCGTGGTTGGGATTCCGTGACACCTTCAGATCTCTGATGCACGATAACCATTCAATTGGAGACGTACAAAAGTTTCATTATTTAAAGGCGTCGGTAGTGGGCAAGACCGAGCTATAGAGTCTATCGAGCTTTCTGACACAAACTACGAAATCGCATGGAATGCGCTTCGAGAAAGGTATAACAATCACAAGCAATTAATTCACAATCACGTGAAGGCATTGTACAATATACAGCCAATCGCGAAAGAATCATCCGCAAAACTTTTATCAATCGTTGACGAAGTCACAAAACATTTATTCGCGTTAAAGATTCTAAATGAGCACACAGAGCATTGGGATTTTTTAGTAATTTATCATATTCACACGAAACTAGATAGAAATACTTCCATTGAATGGGAAAGTATAAACTAACTTTGAAATCCAAGTCATCGCTTTCCGATCTAACTAGCTTCTTAAGGGATCGCGCTCAAATTGTAAAAAACATAGAATCGCAATGTAAATTGGATGGTAAAGATATCAAAATTGCAAAGATTGCGACGGGCAAGTCCAAATCTTTTCATTCTCAAAAATCTGAATGCGTGATATGTAAGGGAGAGCATTACATACAAAATTGTAGCACTTTTCTCGAACTTATACCTTTAGAAAGATCAAACAAGGCTAAATTAGCTAAGATTTGTCTCAATTGTCTAAGAAAGGGACACGCGATTAAAGATTGTTCCTCAGACTCCTGCAAAATATGCAACGCCAAACATAACACACTGCTACACTTCAACAAAAATGAAGACAGCGATTCGAGCAAGGTTACTAAATCTATGTGTGCGTCATCTCGTAATAATATCAATGTTGTTTTAGCTACAGCTCTAATAATGTCTAAAGGACTCAGTGGATCTGCACAAGTAAGAGCAACACTTGACTTTTGTTCCCAATCGAGTTTCGTATCGAATCGCTTGTGTGACGAGCTAGGTCTAAAGAAAATTCCAGTTAATCATTACTTAGACACTCTAAACTGCAAGGGCTCTATAATTAAACATACGTACTCAGTAACCTTGTCCTCTTTGCACTGCGATTTCGAGTTTCAAATAAATTGTCTAGTATTAGACGAAATTGAACAGCAAATGCCTGCTGAGCCCATTGAATTGCAGTATTTAAATTTTCCGAAACATTTACCTTTAGCAGACTCCTCATTTCATATACCTGGCAGGGTCGATCTGTTGATCGGCGGCGAATGGTTTTGGAGGTTGTTATGCATAGGCCAAATTGAAATCAACAAACAAGGTCTAGTTTTACAAAAAACCAAATTAGGTCGGATAGTAGATGGCCCAACCTTCTCTCAAGTTTCTAAGTCTATAAAATGCAATTTTAACGATGTTAAATCATCTAGCAATATTGACGCAATTAAGAAAATTTTGAGAACTTGAATCAATTGACGACAAGGTCCAAACAAGCCAAGAAGAAACTAGTTGCGAGCAACACTTTATTCAAAAACACAAACGAGATATAAACGGGCGTATCAATTCCGTTCAAAATAGATCCGAAACAACTCGGAGAACTGCGAAGCGTCGCAGTATGACGATTAATTTCATTAGAAAAACGATTTCTAAAAGACAAAACCTTTAAGGCAAACTATTGCGCGTTCATGCGGGAATACGAGGAACTTGGTCACATGACTAATGTTAAGGAAACATCGCATGACTACTCTACGTTTTACATGCCACACCACGGTGTACTTCGACCGGCCAGTGCATCAACCAAGTTGCGCATGGTCTTCGACGGTTCATTGAAGTCAGACAGTGGATTATCGTTAAATGACTGTCAATATGTAGGTCCGGTTGTGCAAAAGAAATTCTTCTCCATACTCATCCGCTTTAGACAATACCCGTATGTTGTATACGCTGATATACAGAAAATGTACCGGCAGATACTTGTTTCCCTTAGCGATCGTCCATTGCAACGCATACTTTGGCGAACAGACCCAAAAGAGGAGATAAAGATTTACGAATTGAACACATTAACTTACGGCACATCATCGGCATCTTACTTAGCCATTCGTTCGCTTATGCAACTGAGTGTGAACAATCCCTACCTGGCGTCGCCAGGATCATTCGTTCGGACTTTTATGTCGATGATCTGTTGACTAGTTTCAATGACATTGAAAAAGCAAAGGCAGTTATTCAAAAATTGCGTGACATGTTACTTTCAGACTGCCTGCCATTAGCAAAATGGGTTTCTAACGAACCTTCAATCATATCAAATGTTGTAGGTAAGGAAGATAAGTTGTCTATAATCACGCTGGGTGAAAACAATACGCACAAAACGCTAGGGCCGAATTGGCGGATAGATAGCGATCATCTTACGTTTTCGAAAAACTTCTCTAAGCAGTTTAAGGTTACAAATCGAAGCATCCTTTCCGAAACTTCACAAATATACGATCCTTTGGGTGTGTTGGCTCCATGTATAATTCTGGCAAAAATTAGTCTGCAAAAATTGTGGTTAGCAAAAACCGAATGGGATGAGTCCTTGCTATCAGGCATTCAATCACAATGGCTTGAATATCGCAATCAGTTAGCGTGCCTAAACAATATTATAATTCCTAGACATTCTATTTGCAGCAATCCTGTGAGAATTCAAATCCACGGATTTTCCGATGCATCGAAGGATGCGTACGGAGGATGTGTTTATCTAAGATCGCAAAATGCAACAGAATCTGTTCACGTTTCACTGCTATGTGCCAAGTCGAGAGTCGCTCCCTTAAAGACAGAAACTATACCTCGACTCGAATTATGCGGAGCATTAACTGTCGCCCGCTTAGTTTCAAAGGTAAGCAGATCCATGAGCTGCAAAATCGATCAAATCTTCTTATGGACAGATTCCACCATTGTGTTGAATTGGATTCAAGGACAACCACATACCCAACTAGTATTTGTCGCTAATCGAGTATCTCAGGTACAACAGCTGGATCTCGATGCACAATGGAGACACATATCGACCGATCTAAACCCAGCAGATTTACTGTCTAGAGGTAGCGTAGCTCCATCGAAGTTGAGGAACTTGGAAATTTGGTGGCAAGAGCCTAAGTTCTTACAGAGTCACGAATCCGAATGGCCTCATGACGAGTAGCAAGTTTCTAATAATGTCGTTTCAGCATTACATGCCAATACACAAACAAATTCCCCGCATTACGTTACGGAGATCGTATCTCGTTACTCCAAATTATCCACTCTGCTCAGAGTAGTTTCCTACTGTTTTAGGGTATTAAAACGCAATCGACGGCCAAATATTCGTATTGATAGAGAGGAGGCTAACCAAACTCTATTAAAATTAATAAGATTAATACAAGAGATGGACTTTTCCTTCGAAATCAATAGCATTAAATCCGGAACTTACGTAAAAAAGGGGAGACTAGTAGCACTAAATCCTTACTTGAATGAAAACTTAATATTGCGTGTAGGAGGTCGTTTGAAAAACGCGGATTTTGAAATCGACAAAAAATTCCCTATTCTCTTGTGCTCTAAGAATCGATTAACGTTGCTCATCTTTGAGCAAGAGCACATAAATTTGTTGCATGGAGGCCTGCAGCTTCTTTTATCTCACACGCGGGAAAGATTTTGGACTCTCGGCGGCAGGAATTTAGCAAAAAAGGTAGTTCGCAGCTGCATTACATGCTTTAAATCAAACCTCAGAGCAGCCATGGCTCAAATGGGTCCGCTACCGTTCCCTGGAGCCTCGCCCTCGCCAACGTTTCATAATACCGGTGAAAACTATGCCGGTCCATTTCATATTAGGGTCGCGGAAGTCGGACATCCAAATGTTATATTTGCTTATTTATTTGTCTCTCCACCAAAGCGATTCACTTGGAAATAGTATCGGACTTATCCACGGATTCATTTTTAGCAGCTATTAGGCGGTTTATAGCGTGTCGAGGCAAACCTCAGCATTTATACTCCGACAACGGAACCACTTTCGTTGGCGCAAATAACAAGTTAATTGAGCTCGGAAAATTCTTGCACGATGAGCTCGACATCTTAAATCTAAAAACTGATGAAATAGGCGTGTGTTGGCATTTCGTACCCGCATATTCATCTCACATGGGCGGCCTTTGGGAAGCCGGCGTGCGTAGCACAAAGCATCATTTGCGGAGGGTCGCGAGCAATGCGTCATTAACGTTTGAAGAAAAGTACACTTTAGCAGCTCAAATCGAGGCAATTTTAAATTCCCGTCCATTGACCTCAAATGATTCTAACGACTACACACCCCTTACACCAGCTCACTTTTTAATCGGCCGAAAGTATACATCCACAGCAGATCCATCTTTGAACGGAATTAAAGAATCAAGGCTGTCAAGATGGCAACTCATCCAGCAAATACAGCAACATTTCTGGACCAGGTGGCACAAGGAATATACAGGGTGTTTGAAAATTATCGGGTAATCGATCACGAACAGGTAGAACGTACCAAATTGAATCGAAAAATTTTATATTATTTTGTAGGTTGCGCAATAGTTAACGAGATATTAACGTTTAAAGATAACCGAATAAGCGCGTCCGGCCGGCCTAC